ATTATTTATAAATTGAAAACTTCGTCACATTATTATGATGTCTGTAAAGATCTCATTTACACATTTTTCATGAAAAACGTGTAAATATTCATTAATACATTTTTTTTGCTTTATTTAATTGTATTTTTGTTTGTTTTATTTAATTTAATAAAAATAAATAAATATGAAGATTAAATCAGTGGTGTTACATACAAATTTTCCAAATAGAGCTTTGGTAGAGACTTTACAAATTGGTTAATACTTTTAAATGATTTTTTTTTAAAAATTAAATCTGTCAATAATTCTGAAAACTTCAAGTCACATTATTATGATGTCTGTGAAGTTTTTAGACATTTTTCATGGACAAAGTGTAAATATTCGTTACTAAAAATGATTTATTGTTATTATATATTTTTTATATGAAGATTAAATTAGTGGTGTCACATAATAATTTTCAAGAACAGCTTTGGTAGAGATTTTACAAATTGGTTAAAACTTTGAAATGACTTGAGAGATTTCTGAAAACTTAAAGTCACATTATAATGATTTCTGTAAAGTTCTGATCTTCAATTTAAGGTATACATTTTCCATTAAAAAAGTGTGAATATTCATAGATATTTTATGTTTTCCACATTTTTTCTACAGCTCTTGTGTATAATTTCTTAAATGCTGATGTTTCCTGTTCCAGTAACAGCGCACAACTGTCTGAAACTATTTGCAAATCAGGAATATATTAATAACTTTTTTTTAAAGAGTTGTATTCTTAATAATTAAAAATATATATATATTAAGCTGTGAAATTTATGGAAGATTAATCAGCAAAAATGACCATTAAATCGAATTCAAATCTTAAAGGGTTTCTCATCTGCTGTTACAGTAACAGTTAGTATGAACTGTAATTCTATTGGTGATTAGATGTGATTGAGTGTATTATGAATGTCTCTGAGCAGCATTGAGGCTGGATTTCACTGTCTCAGCAGCTTAAGTGTGTGTGTGTGTGTGTGTGTGTGTGTTTGAGCTCAGTGCGCTCTCAGCTCTAATCCTCACTGATCTGTTGAGACTACACACATATACGGCTGTGATAATACTCTCATTTTCTGCTCACCTGGACACTGACAATTCACACACACCATCTCTCTCTCACACACACATGGGTCTTTAACAGCAGCTTAGGAAAGTCAAACACTTTAATTCCAAGTTAGAGACACACAGATTAAGCATAAAAGAGGCCGAGGAGTGAAGAGATACTCTTTCATCCATTCATGAGCTCTTTCTCTCTTGTATCTTCTTGCTGTGTGGCCTGTGGATAAAGTAAACACATGAATGAGAATGAAGCGCTTAAACACTCTCATGCATTCATAAGCACACACACACACACACACACACACAGATGGGCATTTGAACACATTGATGAATCCTTTGAGTTGAATGATAAAGATGCTTATTCTCAGGAAAATCTTTAATTTGCAACATACGACTCATGCACATCTTAAAAGTAGTCCATATGACTGTTTTGTTGCATGCCACAGACCATGGCAAGATTATCAGTTAATTTTAATTTTAGTTTGTAGAATATAATAAGTGCACATCTCATGCTGGCCACTTTTATCATAATATGGTCCTTTTTTTGGAGCTTGACAGAATGTGCTCTCTGTTTTAATTATTGTTGCATAGAAAAGAGCTTCTTTTGTGTTCATTATGAGTACATTTTGACTGATTTATTCAATTTTATGTTAAATGAAGTTGCTTTGTATTAAACGGTCAGTAAAATCTCAGAGAAAATGTCATTGCGGATGTCTTTTTTCTAGCACCGTTACCCCAGCGCTTGAGCTTTTACCAGTCCCCTATATCTAATAAACCATTTCATTATTATAACACTAAATCTACTGTAGTTGCGGTTTGTTTAATGATGCACTATACCATTCAAACGTTTGGGTCGGTAGGATTTTTTAAGTTTTTTAAGTCTCATGCTCACCAAGGCTTCATTTATTTGATCAAAAATACAGTAATATTGTGATATATTATTACAATTTAAAATAGCTGTTTTCTATTTGAATATATTGTAAACTGTAATTTATTCCTGTGATCAAAGCTGTATTTTCAGCATCATTACTCCAGTCTTCAGTGTCACATGATCCTTCAGAAATCAGTGTATATGCTTCTCAGGAAACATTTCCTTTTGTTATTATTAATGTTAAAAACAGTTGTGCAGCATAATAGTTTTGTGGAAACTGTGATAATTTTTTTCATCCTTGCTGAATGTAATGATTAGTTTGTATAAAAAAACCTTTTTGACCCCAAACTTGTGAATAATATAGTGTATATCTAATATTTCAGCTACATTGTTAGCGGTATTCTGCTTAATGAAACTGCTGTTATCTGCGAGGGTTTTGATGGTCGGCTCTCATTAGTGAAGAACACTGTTCACAGTCTGAGATCTGTGGTTCTTCTGGCTCTGAGCCTACAACATGCCAAATCTCCATATGTTCTTCACTTATGACGACGCACAACACACACTTCAGACCAGAGAGATGCTCCTGCTGTGACAGCCGCCTCTTTTTCCTCTCTATTGAATGCTTTCTCTCTCCACCTTTACTCATTGCTTTCTTGTTTCCTTTATGGTGTTAGCTAGAGGGATAGTTCAACCAAAAAAGACAATTCTTTCATTATTTATTCATTCTCAAGCCATTCCCCTGCATGGTGTTGTTGTTGTTTGTTGAGAAAAACTGAGATTTTGAAGAATCTGTTATGACAGTTAATAGCGATCACATCTGTCAAGCTCTAAGAAGGAAAAAAAAAACACCATAAATGAATCACTAACTTGTGTGCATATGGAATAAAGTTTTCTAAAGGAACGCTACCGTTCAAAAGATTGGGGTTAGTCAAAATGTTTATGTTTTTGAAAGAAGTCTCTTATGCCCACCAATTATTTGATTAGAAATACAGTAAAAACTGTAATATTATGAAATATTAAATTTATATTATAATGTATTCCTGTGTTCAAAGCTGTATTTTCATCATCATTACTCCAGTCTTCAGTGTCACATGATCCTTCAGAAATCATTTAATATGCTGATATGCTGATCAAGAAACATTTGTTATTATTTTGAAAACAGTTCATGTTTTTGTGGAAACCTTGATAAATTTTTTTTCATAAGAAAAAGAACAGCATTTATTAATAGAAATATTTTTGTAACATAACTTTTGATCAATTTAATGCATCCTTGCTGAATAAAAGTATTAAAACGTACATGCATCAAACTTTTGAACAGTAGTATGATAGCTTTTTGTATGTGATACTCTAAAAGCATATACAGAGCCCACACAAATATTGGGTAAAATATTGGTATGGCATATAAGTTGGCCTATGTTTATAGTTGACATTTTTCTTGATTGTATTTTGATGCAAACAAAGAAGCAAGAAAAATGTAAACTATAAATCCATTGGTATAATATAGATTGAAGTTTTAAAATTCTATTTTGTGTTAACTGGGGAAACAAATAGACGCCGGCAGCTCCTGAGTGATCAGTTTAGTGTGATACCGTGTGTGTAATGGAGATGTTAATGAGTCCTCTAAAAGCAGAGCTGGTAATAACTCTCTCTTTCTTTACCCGCTCTCCACTGGCCCTCCACAGGGGCTTTTCTCTGGCTCTTCACACTCTATAGTGTCTAATGGAATTCAGTGTCTTTAGTGCCTCGACTGCCTTTAAAACGCCCTGTTCAAGTTTACACACCTCACAGAGAAAGAGAGAGAGAAAGGGATGTTGTCAAGTGAATCTCATAAAATCTGTCAAGAACATGACCAGGTCACCCCCAATATCAACAACTTGCATAAAGAATAATTTTTCAGAACTTCACATTTTATTTAAGACATTACAAACTTTTTTTTATTTTATTTAAAATTTTTTTTTTTTTTTTTTTTTTGCTATTATGTCATTACTGTGTAATGTGTTAGGACATTTTACTTTTCAGTTTTTTTGGGGTAATCCCCAGTATTCTCAATGATCTTCATTAATTATCAAAAATGTAATATTATATTACATTTATTAATTTAGCGGACATGTTCATCCAAAGCGATTTACAAATGAGAAATACAAGCAATTCATCTTAAATTATATTGTAAATCTAAAAATAATTATTTACATTTTTAAAAAAAATAAAAAGAAACATTCACAATTAAACTCTTTCCCCGCCAGCACCAGCATTTTTCATCATTTTCACAAAACTTTCATGGCCCCCAGAATATTTTGTTGTATGAATATAGAATATACCAAAAGAAAGAACAGACCCTTTGCTTTTTTTATTAACACTTGAATGTGGGTAAGATTCCTAAAAAAAAAATCAACATTTTGAAGACCTCGTCCTCGGTCGACATTTCATTCAACAGGCCGTTTTGATTTATATGCTGTTTAATATTTGGTGATCATGTTATTTTACATAGGCCTATGCTTAAGCAGTGCTTCTATCGCTAGTTTCTGCTTCTTTTGATCAGGAGATTCTGTACTATTTCAGAAGATGCGTAATAGCGCCCCCTACCATATAACAGTGGAAAAATGGATTTCCGGAAAATTCCGTCAATGGCGGGAAAAGATTTAAAGGCAATATAACGAATATTCTCATGATGAATAAATGCTTTACAATAAAAAAAAGTTTTTCAGATAACAGTAATGTATGAGATATTTTATGTAGATTTGTCATGCTCCAAAAATGAGATTTCATTTTGTTCATGCAAATGGCTATATTATTATTATTATTATTAGTAGTAGTATTGTTCACCCCCCTTATTTTGGCGAAAATGTGGCCTGGCAATGTTTTGAGTTAATGTGATTCTGTTAACCTTCACAATACATACAGTTGTGATGTATGGTGACAGTTAACATTTCTGTTTATGTTACTTAATCAAATCTAGCAACCAAGTGTTTTTGCACATATGTGTGCATGCTAGCTGTTGCGGTTTTGTGTGTCTGTGTGCATGTGTGTGTTTTGTGGAGGCGGGGTTTATCCAATACTATTGTGGAAGGGAAGGGATGTGGGGGTGAAAGTGTGCCCCCTCTGTCATTGGCTCTGGGCCTAATGTCACATTATGCGTCTCATTGTGTCTTTGTGATGCTGAGGGGTATAAATCCAGCCCTCTCAGTGTTCACACACACACACACACACACACACTCACTCCTCCGGCAGACCTACGCACTGAATCCTCAGAGAACAACAGCACGGGACACGTTGCATTTTATTAGGTTGAAGTTTATCAAGTGGATTGTTCTCAACCAAGACTTCGAAGGAACCAATTTCAAGATGGATTCTGATGCAAGCTCCACGTGCAGTCGGTCTTCTTCACCTGACCTGGCTGTGGACTCCAGCTTTTTCTCCAACAAGATGTTCCAAGCTTACGGAGAAACGGGGCAGCCCAGGTCCGAGAAAGTTTCCGGACGGTCACAGAGCTCTGACTCCAGCTCAAAGAGAGATCACTCCAAAGACGACCAGCAAGATCTACGACTTAAAGTGAACAGCCGTGAGCGCAAGCGCATGCACGACCTCAACCAGGCGATGGACGGGCTCCGAGAGGTGATGCCCTACGCTCAGGGCCCATCTGTACGCAAGCTATCCAAAATCTCCACCCTGCTCCTCGCCAGAAACTACATCCTCATGCTGTCCAGCTCTCTGGATGAGATGAAGAAGCTGATAGGTGATGTGTACGGAGCAAGCGCTCAGAGTCACTCGGCTAGACGGGTATTACCGCCAACTTCGGCTGCTCCGGCCCCCCAGTTGCAACTGCTCTCGCTTGCCCCATCCCTGCACTCTCTGGTGGGCAGCACCTCGACGACCACACCGGGTGTAGCCCATGCCCCTCACTCTCCACCCTCGGCTGGGTATCTGGGTTTCCACGCTCCACCTCTTTCCACCCTGATGAAAGACCCTCTGCATCTCTCCAGTGGCTACAGGCATTTCCCCGGCATGCCGTGCCCCTGCTCCCTCTGCCAGCCTCTCCCTGCCTCCACAGCCAGCCTGCACAGCCTCTCCATGGGGAAGTGATCCAGGCGAGGCCCAGGCTTCAGGCTGGAGTAGGCCGAAGTTGAATTACAGACTCAAAAAGAACTGAAAACTTCTGGATGTGTTTCTAGTTGTGTTGTATACATTGTAAATGTCCTGTACAGAATTTGTTTTTTTCTAACAAGCTGCTGCTATTTTTGTACTGAAGAATGTTTTGTAATGTTATAGCTGTATGAAAGCATTTTTTTTATAGTCACTATACTTCTATGTTCTTTGTAGCAAAATGGAGATTGAAAACGTATAGTTTTGTTTCTTAAATTAAACTTCTATTATTATAATGAAAAATACCTCTCCTGATTTCTCCTGTCTTCTTTTGGTCAATCAAACAAATTATTAGTATAATATTTTTCAGTGAAGTACACATAATAGAGTTTTTTTTTTTTAAAAGCTCAAACCAGATTAGATTCAGCAACAAGATATTATTGACTGAAGATCAACACAATCAAAGCAAATTGTTTCCTTAAAAAATATTGATTTCTATAATATTTTAGATAATAATGAAAGATTATAAGATGATTTAGCATCTCCCAACATCTCATATATATATATATATAATATATATAGTTCTCTAATACCAATATTTTTTGTACTGTAATATGCTTTGACTAACAACGCACAATTTTACAAGTTCAATGTAGATCAAATTTATTTATTTTTGGAACGTGCTAATAATGCCAGGCCGCCATTGCAAATTATAATAAATTGACTTAAACAATTAAATAACTAAAATAATTGACTTGCCTGACCAAATTAAATTAAACAACATTTTTAGTTGAATAAATTGTAGGAAATTATTAAATAATTCAAGAACAGATACCAAATATAAATGAAAAATATCATTCCACCCATAGTAATGTAAATAAAGCTAATGTAAACAGACTAGATTGAAATAATGAGGTTCTAAAATCCTGTAAAAAAAATGGCAGCTGCTCATCTGTTCTGAAATAATGCGTCAGTCTTTATGCATGTCAATGTGTTTTATGATATATATGAATATAAAATTAGTCCATATGCTTTCATCTAGCACCATTACCGCAATATTGCCCACACCATGTTTATGTTTTTAGCATATGCTAACAAACATGTGCATCATTTCAGACCGCTACAAAAAATGCTGCCATTGGACTGAACCATCTGTACCGAGACTAGTTAATGTATGAATAAGAAAGGCGCCCAGACCGCTCGGAGCCCGGGGCCTACTCTCACCCATCAATCAGACAGAGAGAGACGCAAGCTGTCGCCAGGTTGGCGCGTCAGCATTGTGCTGCACACGCAGGGGACGGCCAGCGCTCCTTTTCATGTTAGTGCAGGAAGATTTGTCACTGTCCAATAAAGCTGTGATCATATTCAGCCCGTCCTCACTGGGAGTCGTTTTTATGAGGGGCTCTGACAGCTGTGCACACCATCATTTGTTAGCTGGAAAGATCAGGGAAGACATTTGACTCTTCAGACTTTCTGATATGACCAATAGTTGGAGATGAAGGTGTGAAATAATAAGCACAACGGCATCAGAAATGAATCAGGGCTCAGGGTAAAAATGACTTAAAGTGACAAAACTCCTTTGATATTTATAATGTAGGTGTGAAATCCACTGTTTTATTTACAATCGATCCAATTGAAATAGTTGACGTAATGACATGCTTTGTTAAAAAACTACCATTCAAAAGTTTGGGGTCACAAAAATGTTAATCATTAATGTTTCCAACAGTAATAATCAGAAGTGTTTCTTGAGCAGCACATCGGAATGATATCTGAAGGAGTCAATTCAGTTTTGCATCACATCACATTACATCTTAATAATAAAAAAAAAACTGTACTTATATTCCACAATGTTACTGTACTTTTAATAATACTACTGTATTTTTAAAATGAATGCAGCCTTATATATTAAACATTAAAAATGTTACACAACCCAATTTTTAGGGGTAGTTTATGAAAATAAGTATTTAATTTCTGCATGTAGTGTGAATGCATAAGGCCTCATCATGTACTAAAATATCGAAACAAGTGAAAGCCTAATGAATAGCATCTGTGGCATGCAATGACCAACAAACATCATTTTGACTGATCTTGCAGTTCAAGTTTACTGTAAAAATCAAGTTTAACCTAATGAGACTTACTAGAGGAGGCATTCTTGAGAGGTTTAAAGCTAAAATATTTCATTGACATATACAGTAATATTTGAATGCATAAAGTCTTGAATTACTGTTTGAGACCGTGTGTATTATTGTGCAATGCCTTGCTTTCAGACTTCCATTGTAATGCAGATGGTGCCGATTGAACCCAGAATATTACTTTAAAGAGATGTCCTTTGAATATATCAAGTTATAAAATGCTAGCTTTTTATTTTCACTCCGTCACTGAAAGAGTTAATTTAAGGCTCTTCGCTACCATGGTAAGATCACACAGCCTCGAGTGGCTCGTTTGCTTTAACCCACCACGGCACAACAGTTTTCCGAAATTATATCACTAATACTGAAGCATAAATCAGAATGGTGCCAGTGGGCAGCATGCAAAATGTTGCAATCCAGTGTGTTTTTGAACTGAAATCTTAATTTGTGCAAAATCCTTTTATACACACATGGACACAGTTTGACGACTGTATTTCTCAAAGAGCTAAATCAAGCGTGATAAAAATACTACATTTCTCCTCACAGGAATCCCGGGCCGACAACTGATAAGATCAGAGGAGAGATGAAGAGATGTGTCTCCTCTCCTCCTCTGCTCTCCTCCCCTCTCTCTCTCACCCTAAATAGAGGAAGACAAATAGCACTCGCTCCGAGCACAGAAGAGAGGCGCAGGGGGCAGCCCGTAACACAGCCCCCTCCTTTTGTGTGATTTTCTGGATGCGGTAAGCGTCCGGTCGGCCTGCAGAGGGCCCTGACACTCCAACGCCAAACACAAAGGCGCTTAGCTCCTATTTATGGGCCCATTGACAGCGCTAAAGAGCTCCTGTCAGGGCCTGCTCACAGTCAGCTGGTGAACGTCCCAGCGGGGGGAGGCAGCTGCCGTCCTGCCCAGAGAGAAGAAGCTCCCTCAGCGGGTCCCGTGTCCCTGCGGCCCCCCTGAGTCGGGGTCCCAGGCACAGGTGGGGTATGGGAAGCTGAACACATTGTGGGGATTATTGGGAGCTGTGGCCCGGCCTGCTGCACAGGGATAATTAGACACATTGACTTGTGCAAAGCTGGTGTTTCCTGATTGGGGGCAGATGGTGACGGTCCAGAGAGAGAGAACAGCAGGGGATGTATCTGTATATGAACGCTTGTTAGGGAAAGGTGATATATCAACATATATAACATATATATAACATACGAACATATTTCTAATACATGCATACAGTATAGATAGATAGATAGATAGATAGATAGATAGATAGATAGATAGAATAGATAGATAGATAGACAGATAGATAGATAGACTAGATAGATAGATGATACATAAATAGATAGATAGATAGATGGATAGACAGATAGATAGATAGATGATACATGAATAGATAGATAGAAAGAGAGATGGACGATTTACATGCTACGTCACTTTTACAAACATTAGAAATCTATCTATCTATCTACTATCTATCTATCTATCTATCTATCTATCTATCTATCTATCTATCTATCTATCTATCTATCTATCTATCTATCTATCTATCTATCTATCTATCTATCTATCTATCTATCTATCTATCTATCTATTCTATCTATCTATCTATCTATCTATCTATCTATCTATCTATCTATCTATCTATCTATCGATAAGATAGATAGTATAAATAAGATGTATATAGTGTATGATTCTGTCACTTTTGATTGGTTTAATGTGTCTTTTCTGTTTAAAAGTTGTTGTTTTTTTCTCACAAAAACATCTTACTGACACCAAACTTTTGGGCAACTTTTGGTCATACAGTATATACACACACACGTGCGCTTTTTCCTTTATAAAACAACATCAAACCTGCCTGAAATTTGACCATCCAGTCGATATGTGTTTGTTTACATGATCTCTCTCTCTCTCTCTCTCTGTCCCCTTCTCTCTCTCTCTCTCTCTCTCCTCTCTCTCTCTCTCTCTCTCTCTCTCTCTCTCTCTCTCTCTCTCTCCTCTCTCTCTCTCTCTCTCTCTCTCTCTCTCTCTCTCTCTCTCTCTCCTCTCTCTCTCTCTCTCTCTCTCTCATCTCTCTCCTCTCTCTCTCTTCTTGTGTTTTTGGTACCCAATGATCCTTCTGCAATCTGTCTGAATGTGACATCGGGAGCATCTAATCAATACATGAATACACCTTCTGTGGCGATTTAGACTGACAGAGTTAATCAGGGAACCAAAGGTCCCAATTAGTGGGATTGGGGAGCATTTGGGGGACATATTGTGGAACACACGCACATATTGCTCCGGGAGGCTTCAATTAAGAGAGAGGCACACGAGACAGCGAGGCTGACCCGGTGACATTCTGTTAACCTCACTTCCTGTCACTCGCTCAGAGCTCGCTGACAAGCAAAACACAGCTGGGATGCATATAATGTGTGTGAGGGGTCTGGGGCCTCAGGTGTGTGGTTAAACACTCCCATTAGGGCTCAATCCATATGGGCTGTTCTGAATTCTAATGAGGTGATAAACTCCTCGTGTCAATTCCATTATGAGCAAATTCATTTCTTGATTATGTGTAACAGAGTGACGAGACAAACTCTCTCCCTTGAGACCTCACACCACTTATGATTGTTTTCAGTCCTCTAAAAGCTTAACATTTTGAACATGCTTTGAAAAATAGAGACAAAGGATTTTTTTTTAAAGCCGTATATCATTTTTAAACTAGAATGACTTTTTCATTATTCTAGAGGACAGAAATACTGTATGTAAATTAAATATATAAAATATATTACCCATATACAATATGTAAAATATAAATGAAATCACCCATATATTTATTTTTTTCTCACTGGACGTTCAACCTGGGCCACATTTCCCAAAATCATTGTGAGCTGTAAGTTGTTATATTTACATGTATAGGCTATATATATATAATTCAATTCAATTCAAATTGCTTTATTGGCATGACTGTACATATTACAATATTGCCAAAGCTTGTAACACATAGTATAATAATAAAGACATAAAGAATAATAAAGTATTATAACAACTTAAATTCAAATGTACAAATTAAATTAATTGCACAAATTAACAGTGTAACAGGTTATAATTTCTGTGAACATTTGATACCACAGTGTTTTAACATATATACACACACACACACACATTGCTGAGGGTCACTGTGGTGGACATTAGGGAAACATACTGAGGTCAGTCTCACACACATACACACATTCACCTGCTGTCTCTCAGGCTGTGGCACACACACACGTATCTGGCAGCCAGTGTTGCGGTCTGTCCCTCTCCTAGTAAGATCTTTATCTGTTCTACTTCAGTCATGGCTGTAAAGTTCTGTATTAAGTTATTAAGTTTGTTAAAGTAGTCAAATGAGGTTTGTCTCGACCTCTCCTGTCCTACACTGAACACACACCCTTTGCTCTCGGGGTAACCAGCTCTTTCTGTGTCTGCCGGTCTCGATGGCTAGACTGTGTTCACTCAGCCTGTACTTGCTCAGGATCCGTCTCTGCTTTGTGTCTCTCACACTCTGGAGATATTCTTCCAATTCATAATTTGATTTCAGATTTCGATAGAATTGTAATTTACTTTGTGTTTTGGTTTCCTGATCCCAATGTTCCAGATATGTATTTTTAGACTGTTTGATAATTTGGTTTATTCTGATGTGTGTGTGAGAGGCAGTGCTGGTCTGAGACTGGTTAGTGTTAGTCGGGTTAGTCGGGTTAGTGAGTCTCAGGACCAGCTGACTGTGGAGACTCTTTTCGGGGTTCAGTTCTTGGGTTTGTAATGCTTTAAAATGTAGCGATTCTGTGGGACTTGATTTTAGATGCATCCAGAATTTGAGGGATCTTTTTTGCATATTAATAATCAATGGGAATCGGCCTAATTCTGCCCTACATGCATTATTGGGTGTTTTTCTTTGTAGTTTTAGTATCATTTTGCAGAATTCTGTGTGTAGGGCTTCTGTTGGATGTCTGTCCCATCTAGTGTAGCTCTGATCACTGAGTGGACCCCAAACCTCACTTCCATACAGCGCAATGGGCTGGATTACACTATCAAAGATTTTACACCAGATTGGAATCGGTAATTCAGTGTTTTGGAATTTCTTCTTAATTGCATATAGAGCTCTTCGAGCTTTGTCTTTGAGAGCATTCACTGCCATACTGAAACTCCCCGATGCAGTGATGACCAGGCCGAGGTGTGTGTGTGTGTGTGTGCAGTGATGACCAGGCCGAGGTGTGTGTGTGTGTGTGTGTGCAGTGATGACCAGGCCGAGGTAAGTGTACTGCATCGTGTGCTCTAGGCCGGTGCTGCCTAGACTGAACTGGTATCTGTGTTCCTGACATCTGGGCTTCTTAGACCATACTGTTGGTCTTTGTGAGGTTGACTGCCATATATATATATATATATATATATAATATATATATATATACACTGATATATATATATATATATATATATATATATATATATATATATATATATATATGTATACTATTTAAAAAAAATGTATAAAATATTGTATATGACTGTTGTTATATGTAACTGTATTCACTACAAAGACAGATGCAATATTTTATTTATATTATTTATATATTTATTTATTCAAAACCAATTAGTCTCTTGTAGTGTGTGATTGTTGCTCTTGACGGCCCCTAGAGGCCTTCAGTGTAATGACAGGTGTTTTCGCGTTTCATCACAAATCTTGATCCTTTGCGGTTGCCTTACGCCGCAGTCTTAATAGAAAATATTTTTACAAACTAATTCAAACACACGTTCACTTTTTTAACGCAATTTACTGGTTTATATAACTCTTAAAATCATTATTAAATCATCTTCAATATGTTTAGTGTGGTGTTTATTAATATTATTTTGACGCTTTGGTGAGGTCAGAGTTCAGTTCACACGGATGTCGTCATGCGCTGAAGATGGCAGACGGGTGAGTTTACTGCAGACAAATGTTCACTTTTTTATTTTAATGCACAATATAAATAAAATGTTAGCATTTTGCAACAGTAAGTCCACTCTGAAGAGTGTATATCCGCATTAAAGAGATGTCTGTGATCTTTGTAAATGATGAGTTTTATTGGCGGATGTGAAATAGGAAGTCGGACGTGTTTGTTTACAAAAATATCACGGAATCATGAAAGACAAATACATGTTACAGTCATCGGATTCGTTATTATTGTAATATTTCTGTAAATCCATCCCATATAAACATTAAAAAAACAAACATAGATCATGTATATCACAGTAAAGTGATGAAACCGAATGGTCTGAGACATTGAAATGAACGTATGTCGCAGATTGTTCCAGATTGATTAGACTATTTAACTTACACACACGATTTATGGATTATGAGTCATTCCTATCCTATGCAGGACTTACTGTACCTCAAATATGTCGAAGATTAAATATTTTTGTTTTAAAGAATTCTAATTACATTGGTTAGTTTTCTTTTATCTCAGTTTTACTATTAACATTATGGAGAATTGTAAATAACCTCAGCACTTTGGTCGTCAGTCACTCACATCCTGTTAATTTTTTTGCCATCGTGTAAATAATCAGGTTTAATTAGTGAAGTTTAAGTGCCTAAGCTTGACCAGAGCCTATTTCTATACAGAAGTCAAATCACCTTTATTTATAGCACTTTACAATACAGATGGTACAATACAAGCAGCTTTACAGTGATGATAATAGGAAAATAATGTTGTACAGCAGATCTAGAAGTAAATAGTGTCATATTCCAGCTTAAGTTCAGTAATGGTTAATTTTTTGTTGTAAAAAGTTATTAATTTAGTTCATTTATCTACATAAATAAATTATCTATAGCTGCTCTTGAGAAAACAGTGATGTTATCGTCCAGCTCAGTTGAGTTCTCATATAATGGTGAACCAGGAATCCTACCCAAATGTAACATGTCCGATGATTATTTATCATTTGAGTCATGTCTGATGATTTCAGGGAAGGAGGATGGTGGGGAGGCTGGTTGACACAGAGCTTCCAGACCGTCAAAGACAAGGTGAGATAAATCCAGATCAGTTCCAGTGTGACTTTATGATATGGATAATGCTGAAATGTTTTAGGTATCTCTCAATGATGTGTTTTGGAAAAGCAATGACTGATCAATGGCTACAAATGGTGTTAAACGTTTTGAATCACTAGTGAGAATGCTTCTATTTTGCATTATTTTCTAATTTGATAAAATGTTTATTTTATCAGCAGAACAATTTAAGTGAAGTTGTTGAAAAGCAGCATAAATGTCTTATATTCGCTCCCCTCTTGCTTTATTAGTGTAGAAAAATTATTTCTTATTTATATTTCTGTCTTAATAACCTTACTTCGTTTTAAATCTAAAACGGTTTAATTTATTAAAAATAAATCCCAGATATTTAATATGGAACCAGATTTCTGGACCCCGTTGTAGATTAAATTAGTTTTAAATCTTAAAGTCGTCATAAGTATTACATTTGTTTTCTTGTTTAATATTTCATGCATATATATATATTCTGTTTTCTCGACAGTCAGCTGAGGCGTATGAGTTTATCAAACGAGACCTGACAGAATTCTCCAGCGTGGTCCAACATGACACAACATGCTCCATTGTTGCGACAGCGAACGCTGTTAAGAGCAAACTGGCCGTAAGGAAACAATTTTACATTACATCACACCTAAACAATGTTAATTGTATAGTGTTTGGTCTTGTGCTAAGAGTAGACATAACATCTCTTTAGGTTTGTTTATGTAGATGTAAGCCCTAGCCACAGATTATAGGTTTTAAGCTTCTTCTTTTTAGGTTGAAGGTTCATCAGAGGCCACGGAAAAGGTGAAGAAGGGCCTTTCAAATATACTGGGTGTGATCACAGACACTTTGGCCCCTCCCCAAGACATGACCATCGACTGTGATGTCATCACGCTGGTGGCCACTCCTTCAGGCACAACAGAGGTGTATGACAGCGGCAAGGTCAGCCACATTCACTCTTTAGAAATATATATGCATATATATACTACTGTATGTATGTGTGAAGGGACACATGATGAGGTTAATTGTTCCGTCATAGCCATGACAAATATATGCATATCACTTGCTAAATGGAAGCATGTTTTCATTAACTTGTTGATAGAGTACAGTAGAGTGTCAGTATTCCATGATTTTGATTGACATGTACTGGTTTTCCTCTCAGGCTCGACTCTACAGTCTTCAAGCAGACCCGGCTACATACTGCAATGAGCCAGACGGTATGTCTCTGCCTCATGTTGTCTCTTTCTCAAGCAGGGATGTGTGTTCAAGGTCAAGTGTTTGATGTGTATTCCATGTAGGGCTTGGTTAAAAATATCTATAATATTGTCATTTTGAAGAACCGATATCGATTCTTAAAGGACAAGTTCGATATTTTACACTTAAAGCCCTGTTTTAAGATCGTTTCTGATGAAATAGAACGGTTACGATTAAAACCACAGAAACCGAAAATTCTCGGGCCAGCAGCATGTGTCCAAATTTCAATCTTAAACGCTCTATTTCATCAGAAACGATCTTAAAACTGGGCTTTAAATGTAAAATACCGAACTTGTCCTTTAAAACCAATGAATCAATCGTTCTATGCTGTTTTCAGTTGATCAATGAACAAAACTTTGTCGCACCTCCCATCCAATAAATCGCAATAAGCTTTGTTACTTCTGATATGAAAGTCTCAGCTTTCAAATTCTGTTAATATTATGATGTTTCTGATAGGCCCCAATTCATCAGTATTGAATCGAATCATATTGAAGGCTTGTGAAACAAATCTAATGGAATTTTGAAATTTGTGTCAATGCCCGGCCCTAATTGCATGTATTTTTGTCTTTCCAGGCCCTCCACAACAGTTTGATTCCTGGCTCTCCAGTTTCATTTTAGAAGAGAGGAAGGCAGAGATCTCTGAACTGCTGGTCAACAGTCCTGCCATAAGAGCTCTTTATACTAAAATGGTATGATCATGCTTCATCCTCCTTTAAATTACATTCTTATTGACCATCTGATTTTGTCTGGGCACATTATTCAAGATATCATTCTTTTTGTTACTTTAATCTTTTCATGTCAGGTGCCGGCGGCAGTGGCTCATTCAGAGTTCTGGCAGCGGTACTTCTATAAAGTGTTCCAGTTGGAGCAGGTACAGCAGATCTGTGTCTGATGAGAATTCAGGATTATGTGCTTATCTGAACACACACAGCTCAGACACTCAAACAACATGACGACATCAGTATGAGTCACAGGATACTTACCAGCACAACACTTTCTTTGCTGAGGTTTCATATTTGTTTTAGGTGTGCCTTCAAAGACACATCCAGTCAGTTACAGATTAACATGGTAGCGCCATCTGCTGATCAGAGTGTGTATCTACACTAAGTTTGCAGTCTGTGTGTAGAGAAGTGGTTCTCAACCTGTTTAATTCAAAGGCCAACACAATAAGCCCCCCCCCCCGTGTTATGACAAAGATTGGGAGATAAATTAAGCAACTGCAATTAATTGTATAAAAACAGTAGTTGTTGTGGGGATTTTTAAAAAAGTAATAGGATTGCAGTTTAAAATTTTATTCTTTAGCATTGCAGATAATTATTTTAATACACAATTTAATCAATAATAAATAAATAAGCAAACAAACTTTATTCGTAAAAATAATTGTAAGTCTTTGCTAAGGCCTTCTGATTGGTCTAAAAATGCATTTATGCATCGCAATGCATTAATTTTAGGATTTAATGCTACCTAGTCTGTTAAACATTTATTTATTTGCCAAAATACAGCTCAACATTACAATTACAACAAAATATTTTATTTTAAGTTGTAAAAATCCACCCCAATCGAATTCCAGCACAGTTGTATTTCACAACACATTTTATGAAAATAATTATGAATCAACCCAAATAATCAAATCAAATGGATAAACATTTTCTGTTTGTTACTTTTCAGTAATATTGTGTAGATTAAGTGGTTGTTTTATTTAAAGGTACAGTTCTCTTATAAATGAAAATCTGTCAACATTTACTCACCATAATAAAAAAACTAATTGGTCAATAAAAAATTCCAGGGTCTATATCTTCTAGCATTAAAATGTTAATTAATATGCTTTGTTATAATTGTCATTATTGTCAGTTATGACCATTTTTTAAAAACAATGTTATTTATTGAATATAGTTGCTGTTTTAGGGTTTGCACAGCTCCCTTTAACATGACTTTCATTTTATATATCATAAAATGTGTGTGTGTTTGTGTTTGCAGGAAGAGGCTAGGAGGGTAGCGTTGAAGCAGAGAGCAGAGCGCAAGACTTCTGAGAGTCTTGGCTGGGAGGAAGAGGACGAAGAAGGTTTGACTGAATTTTTATGGGAAAGTGTCAAACATATTGACTAGCTAAACCTTTGCGTCCGTTCTAAAACTTTGTGAGCTGCCTTGCTGTCCGTCTGCTTGTTAGGAAGCTCACTAGGTTTTGGGACAGAGCATTTGTGTTCCTTTATCAGCATCTTTTCTCTCTCTCTATCCGCAGGTGAGTTTCTTGGGGCCGCGTCTTCATCTCGCTTAGATTTCACACCCCCTGTGGAAGAGGCACGTGTCCCTGCGGTGACGATAGAGACCCCTGAAAGCTCCTCTCCTCCTCAAGTGGTGGTTTCCTCCAGCAACGTAGCATCTGACGTCACCCCCTCCGTAAGCAGTGACAGCGTCAGTTTCCCCACCCAGATCGAGAATCAAGCGGACTCGGTCACCATCAGAGTCACGCAGCTGTCGCCCGCTGATGATGAGGTCTCTCAGAAACTCTCAGAGGCCAGTCTACAGGAGACAGTCCCGGAGGAGCGACCCGCGCCGCATGAAGAGCCCGCCAGAGAGGACATCGCTCAAGACCTCCGAGTGTTTGAGCTCAACTCGGACAGCGGCAAATCCACACCCTCCAATAATGGCAAAAAAGGTGAGGAAGCCCCCACAATAATTTGTACTAACTGTATAGATCAAATAATATATGTTGTTTGCTTTATACCATCTGTAAATACACAAGAAACATCATGATCATATTCCAGGATGACAATGTCAAGATTCATCAGGCTCAGATTGTGAAAGAATGGTTGTGAGGAGCATGAAGAATCTTTTTCACGCATGAATTGATTAAATTCATTGCAAGTGTTTGGGATGTGCTGGAGGAGACTTTACAGAGTGCTGGACTCTTGCATTGACAATACAAGATCTTAACACAAAATTGATGCACCTCTTGGTAGAAAAAATGTTGTGATGTTATTTTCATCAAGAGGTGCATACATTTTTGGTCAAGATCTTGTATTGACAAGTAATAGCTCTCTCAAAAATGGTAACTTGTGCAAAATGTTTTTTAACTTTTTGTTTAACATTAAAACAACCAGCATTGCGACGTTTTGCACCGTTACAAATTTTTGTCAGTATGTTTAAAAAAGAAAAGAAATTAATACTTGTATTCAGCAAGGAAGGATGCATCAGATAAAATGACCGTAAAGACATTTATAATGTTACAAAAGATTTCTATTTCAAACAAACACTGTTTTATTTGACAAAGAATCATGATTTTTTTTTATCACCGTTTCCACAATAATATTAACTGTTTTCAACATTGATAATAATCAGAAGTGTTTCTATAATATATTGAAATAGAAAACAGTTATGTTAAATTAGTTTTTATAAGTAAATGCAGCCTTGGTGAGCATAAGAGATCTTGAAATCTTGTCTAAATTTGTTGATGTAATGTTTGCACTGTGTGTATTTACACATGTAGGTTCGAGTACAGATGTGAGTGAAGACTGGGAGAAGGATTTTGATCTGGATATGACAGAGGAGGAGGTTCAGATGGCTTTGTCGAAAATAGACGCAACGGAAGAGGTTTGTTCTTTATGATGGTTAACGATAAACTAGAAATGACAAAGAGCCTAATACCATGTTTAGGAACAATACAGAATAATGATACAGAATAATAAATAATAGGTGGTATGACTGTATATATCGTGGCGACGGTATAAAATATTTTGCTATATCGTGGTATGTAGATACAGTATATATATAATACGCACAGCACTATTGACACTTTTGTTGTATTACTTTTGTTTAATTTATATAACAAACAAAAAAACTAGATTGTGATATATATCGTTATTGTGAAGTAAAATTTCTCATATTGTGAAATAAGATTTTGGTCATATCGCCCACTCCTAATACGGAATAATATCTATTTTATTTTCTGACCGTGGTTTTTCATTTGAAAGCAATGATATTTCTACAGATTTCTAACAGTGGAGCGCAGTGGTTTTATCTTTTTTGATTTGTTGAACATCAAATGGGCATCAGAAATCCAGGGATTTTTCTAGCTTGTTTCTTTCCTTATTAACTTATTTTAGCTTCATCAGAAACATAGCATTTTGAGTGGAATACTGAGTGTTTTTGTAGTCGAGTACATGTTAACTGAACTCCAGATGTGGGATTTGGTAGATGCCTTTACCCAAGTTTCACATATACTAGGTGTCTTGTGCATGTGTATGCATGGGCAGCTCGCAGTTCTTGTTTAGCGCTTAAGTCATTGACATGTGACACATCAGGATAGATTAGCATTTACACAGTGCAGTGTGGTCATATGCATATCTGACCCCCTTCGAATGTTTTCTAAGTGATCCGATAACAAAACATACATTTTCGCTATCCATTTGTGATGTTCACTGAGATGAATGTTAATACCAGTTATAAATTTGGTTTTCATTATTTTAATCTCTTCACCAGTTGGAAGATGCAGACTGGGAGAACTGGGAGTGAGAATCTGGTGGAGGGAATTCTGGTCCGAAACCGACACGAGACGTTGCTGTACCCAAAGTGAACCATGCTTAATGTATTTAACTCCTAGTCTACAGTCACACCTGCTCATTTCACCAGTCCATTGAGCAGGTCTCCTCCTGCGAATGCAATTAACATGAAGTGTGTTCTCTAATCAGAGCTGGTGAAGGGGTGATCTGTTTTTGCTCTGGCTCTCCTAAAAATGACCTGCGGTGAAACACTAAGACAGTTCAGAGAAAGCACGTATCGGCTAATGAGGAGAGGTCATCTCGCATTGCCATTTGTACCTGCCGTATATGTACATTTATGTTATTCTTTGGAGATTTCAGTGGGAGAATGCAAATTAATTGCCAGGGCTCCTGATTAGCTGTAATCGATTAAGCTGTTCATCATTCTTATAGGATTAGAAAATAATCTTTCACATTAAAAAATATATTTATGTTTCTTTTTTTCTGGCATATAGGTCTCTGGCTTCTTTTTTTTAGAAGTTATCTTCTCTTGAAATATTAACACCTTTAATCGAATGCAAGTTATTCTAGCATTGAGAATGGAAATGGAGAGATGCTTCATTCATTCTGCTGATGCTCTATGGCCTTGTTTAGTGTTTGGTGTGGAATGAAAAAAATGTCATGCAAAAGTTACAAAAAAAAATACTATTTCACTAAATGCACCTGTTGTTTCCTGTGATGTCCACTTTATCTTCCTGTCCTTGTCTTCATCTTCTCATAATTATAGTCTGAAATAGTAAATGTGATATCTGTGCTCAGAATTTCATCCAGATGGTCATGGGTGACATGGTTTACTAATTTAAGGATAATTTGTGTTCTCATGTATTTGTCACTTGTCCTATATTGACACAAAAACACTGTCAATATAGGTTTAAACTGCAGGCCAATATTTTAGGCATGTAGTTTTAAGGTGAGCCTCATCTTTAGGTGAATACAACCTCCAGACTGACTATCCATAGAATATCTTGCATGCTGCATCTCTACAGTGTTTCTCTAGACCTTTACTTCAATTATAATCTGCTGGCATTATTTAAAAAACGGGTCTCAAACTGTCAATACTTTTTACAATTATATTGTCCTCTATTTTTCCAATGAACATCACCATTAAAAGCAATATCATGCAAATTGGTGATTTGTTTTAATAGCTGTTTTTAAAAAAATATATTGCACATGATATAAGTTTAGAATACTTGGCTTATAGCACACAACTCATATGCACTACTTTTATAATACTTATATTATGATTTTGGATACTGTTTTGCTAAACTCAATTAATTGTAATTGCATGGAAAAAACAACCAGTACATTTTTTTCAAAATCTCCTTTATTGTTCTGTGGAAGAAAGTCACGATGACGAATGACAGATTTTTTTTTTTTTGACTAAATGTTTGTTTAAAGATAACATACAGATTCCCTATGCTGTGTCTATTAGTTTTTATATTTTACACCTGTCGGGATGGTTTTCGCGGGAATTTTTGCACATACGTCACTTATGCGAAAATAGAGAACAATTTCTTTCAAAGTTTATGGTGTGTGAGTGGCATAGGTTAGTTGTCACAACGAGCGAGACAGATTGACAGAACAAGCTAAATCTCCGATCTCTGGGGAATCACCCATTTAAAAAACAAAAAAACAAAAAAAAAACAGAAGAGAGTCCTGGCAAAAAGACGATGCGACAGAGCTCGTAATAAAACCAGAATCAACGTTGGCTTGGCTTTTTCGGAGATGACGACAACTGAGGGATTTGAAATGCTGTAAAAGTGACACGACGACACGTTTTTATTACTGACAGGTGAGGTATTTTACTCAACTGATAGATTGCATTTTCTGTAAAAACAAGATGATCTAGATGTATCTTCAGGAGAAGCATACACTATTAAAAAGGTAATTACACCTCAAAATATACACCTTATAATTTCAGTCATTTTAATCAATGCTAGACATCGGGTGGCATTAATTTAAAATGCATTTTAACATTAGTTAACCGCCTTAGGTCATATGAACTACTAATGAACTAAACAATTCTGCACCAAGTTATAATAATTTGAACATTTACAAATACATTATTAAAATTGTAAAGGTTCTATATGTTAACATTAGTTAATGCACTGAATTAACATGAACAAACAACAGCTGTATTTTTATTAACAAAGATTAATAAATGCTGTAACAAATGTATTGCTCATTGTTATTTCATGTTAGTTAATACATTAACTAATGAACCTTTTAAATATAGTCTGACTTTAAACATAGTAGTTTCTTTTGAGGACAGCAGATGGCAGACTTGAGCCAAACCTGTGAATTAAAACCATTGGTTTTGGCATGTAGAAAACAACAGAACAGTGCTAGCCTTTCTCCCAAAAAAACCTCTTTGTAGTAATTTTTGGAAGGGACATTAATATTTTTTTCCATTTTCTTTTAAAGTTACGGCGTGGTTGATATGGTTAATAGCGCTGTGTTCCTGAGCTTCATTTACTGTATGCTTTATACATGTAAAGAAGTAGATACCATACCAGTCTGATATATAATCAGTCTTTTGTAAACTTCATAATTTGTAAGCTTTTGACCAACATTCATGGACTTTTTAAACACTCAAACTTAGCTCACAGGATTGATATCACTATTATTTCAGTATCCCACAATGCAATGCGTTCAACTAGACAGTTAACCGCTATTCTCTCTTTTTTTTCTCTCTTTCTTGACTTTATTTCAGACTGCCAAAAGTTAAGAGAGTCTTACACAAAATTAGAGTAAAAATGCAAAATAACCATTTCTGAGATGATCGTATGACAATCACTGAATTAAACGTGCAACATAGGCTATAGTGAGGCCTTGTGACAACAATGTAGCACTGTTTTTAATTTTAGTCCTGTACAGTCCCAGCAAACATTTGGACGTGTAATGACCGTTGAAAAGACGTCCGTCCGACACGTCCCGTCATGGTTGAAAAATAGTTCCAAAATGAAAGTTGAACCGACGTCTTTGACGTCATCTGGCCGTGAATTCCACGTCTCTTCTGGCCGTGAATTCCACGTCTCTTCAGCGCGTCCCTGGACGTCTAAATGCGTCGTCATTTGTGTGTTTAAATCTGTTGCTGCATAATTTAAGTGTATATAAGCCTGCATTTAAAATAATCACACACATATTGTGTAACATCGTGAAAGGCAATCAAGTCATGAAGTTTACACATCTTGACAAAGGTTCTAAAAAGGTCCAAAATTGGTCTAGTCAGACCTGACCGTCAATAAAACGTTTTAATCACGTGTACATCACAAACAAGAACACATTATTTGTGGACATAAGAAAAAAAGCAGCATGTTCTGATTTAGCACATTTTATTGATCTTGAACAGCCAAAATGTATCTTAATATTTTTTCAATGTTTAACATTTGTTAACCAAACTAAAATACCAATTACAAAATACTGAATTATTATATAAAGGGATAGTTCACCCAAAAATTAAAATTCAATGAAGAAAGGTATACAGGTTTGAAACATGAGGTTGAGTAAATGATGACAATTTTCATTTTTGGGGAAACTATCCGTTTAAAAACACATTGTTTGGCTCAGTTTTTGTATCCACCAGCTGTTCCTGGAGCGTGTTTCAGGTGTTCTGCCATTGCTGCATCAATTTCAGAGTCTGTAGCATTTGGGCTCCACCTCTTCACAGCATCTAAGGGAAGAGAATATATATATATTTAAATAAATAAAATTATTATAAAATTAAAATTTGAGGTAAATGATATGCACTTATTTTCAAAATATTTTTATGGTCTACAGCTAAAAAAAAAAAAAAACATGGAACAAGATGAATGAATCATGAATGACACATTAGGAAAAGGTAATCAACAAGCATTACATTTTATTTTATTGTATAAAATATGTTCTGCTTTTATTTTTAAAGCAGTTACTGAAAACATACATGTTAAAATCCAGCTAAACATTTCATTCCATTTCAGATAATTTACTTTCTGAAAGAAACTCTCAAAAGGCTACATTAATAAGTTACAGTAATGACTGTATCATTAAACAATATACTTGGTATAACGTTACCGTTGTTGTATACGTTCAAAGTTACTTTTAGCCTACTGGCTAATTTTAGCCAAACTCAGTAAATTTCAGTTGACAATGTGGGCATAATTTCTTTCGGTTCATTCATGTCACACAAGTAAAACTCAAGCACGTTAATCTAATACAAAATGTACTTACCCAACAGTAGATTTTTAATAATATCGACACAACTCCCTCCTCTCCTCGTGTTTGTTCAAAGTTCCAGAATCTATGGGGAGAACGCGTTAACATCTCGCGAGATAATCCCATCGCAGGATTTTGTAACTACATCTTGGCAGCACAGTTTATGGTTTGGGCAGAGGGTTTGGGTAATTACATCCAACTCAGACATAAATGGTGACCGGGTATATTTCTGTTTTACATGTATATACATTCCATAAAAAAATAACAACGAATACATCAGGTACAACAGGTTAAAATAATGACTAAAATGCAGTGGCTTTGCAATCACTTGACTATACTGTGCATTTTGTGATTATAATTTATAAAAACAAGATAAAGTAAATATATATTCATTTGTAAATAAATCGTGTATTTTATAAAGAATTATAAATCCTGATAATTTTTTTCTGTCTTGCTAGACTAGACGTGCAAAAGACGCCAGTGGACGTATAGTATTCACAGCCTGACTAGACGTGTAAAGGACGCCAGTGGACGTCTTCTTCACAAGCTCTTAAAAACTTCATGGGCAACTACATTAATTATTGCAGTATTAACCATGCGAGGATTAAGCGCAGCTTTTGCATATTTAACAAGGATTTCATAGAGGGTCATGATGGACTATAAATGCACGTGTAAAAGACGTCGCCAGGTGACGTCCTCTCACCCGATACACTAAACATAACTACACGAGCTAAAAGTTAAAATAACAATTATACATGCAACTGTAGACATGTACAAATGTATCTGAATGCATTTTTAGGAAATGTTCTGTGTTACATTTTTTACCGATTTATGACGTCCTGGCCGCAACTATTTTTGGCCAGGGACACGACGTTGCCGTCGGACCAATGTTTGCTGGGTACATAAGTGGTCCAAGCTGAATTCATTTCAGGAG